TAGATATGTATCTATATATATAAATATATATATATATATATGTATATATGTATAATATTTATTATTTTTTTTATATTACATAATTCTAAGATTGACTATAAAAAAGTTTTAAATTTGGCCAAATTACATGCATACTATATTACAAATGCATGTCATGAGCTTAACTATATTAGACAAAATCTTTCAGAAAGTGATTTTTTAAAAATGATGAATGATTATATTTATTCACTTACCTCAGGCTCTGTTATATTTGATGAAGATATTCAGCTATACGATTCTGAAAATGATCCTGAAGATAGTTCTAAAAATAATAATAATTTATCAGAAATTAATTCTAAAATTTTAGGTATTGAAGATAGTATTAATTTGGAATATATGTCAAGTAATACAGATTATCTTATTTTTAAAGAAATAATTGAATATAGTAAAAAAGATTTTAATATTGATGCACTTGCTAGCCAAGGAATACAAATGCGAAATACATCAATAGATGTTAACAAAGAAGACTGAAACTTTCATAGTTTTAGTTAATTTTACTTTTATATAATGAATATATTTTGCTATAACTGCATTATAACTAGAATTGTATTAGTCCAATTCAGTCTGTACTTAGTTCTATTAAGACTAAACAAATTTATTATTCAATTGAATCTTGTTGTTTTATATAAATAAAGTACAGCAAAAAATTTTCTCATATAAAAATATTTCATAACTAATATATGTATATACATTTAAATGATATATTTCCAACTATAATTTTCAGATTTTACTAGGTAGATTCTTGATTAATAATCTTAAGCTAGTGATTAAATGTAAAATAAAACAAATTAAAAAATTTTAAGTGATAACTATGAATTTAAGCAGTTTAACTACTTTGATTAATAAAAATATTTTGTAGCTACTCGTTAAATTAATAATCTAATATTTATTTTAAAAAAAATACACAAAAGTTTTATTTTCAAAGCAGAATAGAACAATTGAAACCTGAACCTGAACAATAAGCAAAAAGAGTAAGATAAGCAATATAAACAAAAATTCTATTATCTACTGTATAGTCTCTAGTAAAATAGAATTGATATTGCATAATTTCTAGTAAAACTGAAGTATACGATTATATAATTGCTTGTCTTAGCTATCAATGTTGACATTTGAACTATGTCCAATAAAAACTTTGTTTGGATATAGACATATGGACATATAAAATTTTATATTCTAAATAAAATTTTATTATCCAAATTTGCCTAATTGCTAACACTGTTAGCTACGTATAATTTGCTTATAGATCACTTATGAAACTGTTTATAAAACTATAATAATTATAAATTGTCATTGTACGTATTTAATTGACTGATTGCTTTTATGAAACTAATCATGAAGCCACATAATATCAATATGTATTTATAAATTATTTATAAATTATTACATATATCACTTAATTTTAAATAATCTTAGCATTTTCATCAAAAATTTTTTATCTGTTGAAAAATCAAGATGGAAATTGTCTTATATAGATGACAATTTCTGGTATTTTACAATAGGTTTTATACTTAATTATAAATAGTAATTAAATTAAAATATAATCTATATAAATTAATTTCACTGATTAAATTAATTTTAATATTTAAATTAATTTCAACCATTGAATTAATTTTAACAATTAAATCAATTTTAATTGTTAAATTAATTTCAACTATTGAATTAATTTCAACTGTTGAAATATCTTAAAATTTAATTTTAATTTCACCCTATCTATAATTATAATTAATATAAATCAATACCAATCACTCTGCAGATAGTAATCAATATACACCTTATTTAAAAATTGTCTGATGAAAGGTATAATTATATAGAATTGCAACTATATTTCTATATCTGTTAACT